TTAACTTTTGATCTAGTAATTTCACTTCTTGGCATCTATTCTAGGGAAAAGTCCTTAGGGAAAAAAAATTATACATAAAGACAACCAATGCAGTAAAATTTACTGTGGTAAGAAATATATGTAAATATGTAAATATCCTACATTAGGAAAAACTAAATTATGACATCTGACAGAATATTATGCAATTACTAAGGTTATGTTACAAATAGAGTATTAGAAAATATTTTATACAACTAAAAAAAAGAACAAGATAAAAAATTTTACAACTGTATGAAAACTGGTCGTACAAAAAAAAGTCTGGAATATACCAAAACATAGTTATTATTTGGGGGATGGAATAATGGGGGTGATTAAAATTTTATATTATTGTTTCTGGGTTTTTATGATATACACATTAACAATTAAAATCATATAAAATTTAGAAAAACGCATAAACTGCACATAAATAATATTAACAGAAGCAACGATTTACCCTTACATATCCTTTCTAAGTAAGCCTTGGTTAATCATTATAATATATGTCTGAATAAACCAGCTGCCAGAGTTTTTTCATATATTGTTTTCTTTGTATAATCTGGGTAGTATACACAGGTATCAATATATTTATTATCCTCTTTAAAATTGTACTTAATATTAATTTAAATTGTAGTAAATAAGACTACCGTATAAGTAAACTTTAATGTTCACTAAGATAATCAATAAATATGTGCCAAATAGATTCAACAATACCATACCCTGGTTTAAAATTCTCAGGACTAGAAGGACTTTGTGTCCCAAACTATTCGTAATCATCAATTGATAAATACAACATAAATGAAATTACCTCCTCAGTTACATAAGAGTACATTCTGTAGTTAGTTTTCCAAGGATCTTCAGTGGCATCCACATAAAACCCAGCACCAGTGCCAAAGTCCCAGCTCTCATCTTCTCCTTTAATATTGCAGCCACCTATCATAGAAACATCCCGTGGCCTCATCCACTCCATAGCAATGACCCATGTTTAGTAACACTCTTTTAAATGAATCTGGAAGTTCATTTGCATTTGAGCTGTTCACCAAATATTGCAGTTCTCTGCCTTTTCCGGCGGATACTCCCTGGTCCTCTTATCCCTGAATGGGGCCACGTGACTAGTTCTAGCCAATGAGGTGAGAGAGGGAATGCCCTTCCAGGCAGGAGAATTCACTGCTAAGGGGAGGCACATTGGCTTTCTCTGTGGATGAAGTGCCCTCCTATGTATTCTGAATATACGCTTCTTCACTGTTACCTGTCAAAGGACTTATATCCTCTCTCTATTCTTCCAAAATGTGTTGAGATTCCTTCCCTGAGGACCCTCCCCTATTACCAACACTTTTTTCTCTTAGAAGGAAGAGGAGACAAATGCTTGTGCTCAGATTACTATCTTGCACTGAAAATGTCTCCGTATGTACTTTGGAATCATTCCATTGTATCTCCCCTATTTATTCATCCCCCAATAGGATTTTCTTATAATCTTTCAAAATTTATTAGGTCTTATTTTATATGCTTGCAGGTGGTTAAAAAGCCAACCACTGAGACAAGAGAATTACATTAATACATAGAGTAATTTCAGGAAAATGACCTCTTCATGATATTCAGTACACTCATCCAGGAACATGGCTTTTTCCATTTATTAAAGCCTTTGTTTATGATTGTTAGCAAATTTTACATTTCTTGTAAAAAATAAATCTTCATATTTTAAAAGTTTATTCCTAGGCATTTAATATTTTTAATACTACTCAGAATTAAACTTTTTATTACATTTCTAGTGAGGTATGTCTTGCTTTGGTGTATTATATGTCCTGTGAAAGCAAATGTACTACTTCCTAAGGCCAGCCATTTATCTTCCAGATAATTTTAGCTGCATTTAATAAATTCCATTTCCTGACACTTTCTAAGGTCACAAAGTAAGTTTTAACTCTCTGATGGATTGAGTTCTCAAATATTTGATAGTTTCATTTCTCTAATGTAAGCATTCTAGTTATTTATATTAAAACCAATACACGTTAAATGCATGACTGATGAGCAGATGAGAAAAGACATAATTTTCATGACAGGACAGTTTACCTATGGAATAGAAATATTTTTATGCATTTTGGCATTAGTGCGAATATATTAATCAAGTTGCTCAGTCTCTGTTTTGAAGTGTCTTTTTTTTTTTTTTTTAAGATTTTATTTATGTATTTGACAGAGAGAGACACAGCGAGAGAGGGAACACAAGCGGGGGAGTGGAAGAGGGAGAAACAGGCTTCCCACTGAGCAGGGAGCCTGATGCGGGGCTCGATCCCAGGACTCTGGGATCATGACCTGAGCCGCTTAAGGACTGAGCCACCCAGGTGCCCCATGTTTTGAAGTGTCTTAATCTATAAAATGGGACTAGCAAAATGGTCCCCTCTCATAAGAGTGATGTCATGAGTAAGATTCAGTGAGGAAAATATATAGCATGGTATTTTAGAGTATTGATATCATCTGAAAGATTAATGAGATAATAGCCAAAATATAAAAAAAATAAAAAATAAAATAATATTACATTATACCACTTACAACTTAGTCTGAAAGATTTAACAAGGATCTCTGGACTGAGAATACTTACGAGGGCTCGTATCTGGAGCAATGACGACAAGGCCATGTTCGGAGGCAGCTTGATGATAACCAGCCTTTGATATAAAATTTTGTTCCGTGCAAGTCAAACCTGAAGATCAGAAATAGTGTTATCTCATGCTACACTGTGGATGGTTTATAAGATGTAACCCTTTTTTTTTTTTTAAAGATTTTATTTATTTGACAGAAAGAGAGAGAGTGCATGAGCAGGGAGAAGGGCAGAGGGAGAGGGAGAAGCAGACTCCTCGTTGAGCAGGGAGTCCGATGTGGGGCTCGCTCCCAGGACCCTGGGATCATGACCTGAGCCGAAGGCAGACCCTTAACCGACTGAGCCACCCAGGCGCCCCATGATGTAACCCTTTTATAATACAGGAAAACAAGCTCACTTGGTATTATTAAAACACTATTTTTTTTTTTAGAAATGATTCTAAAGAAGACAATAAAGTTCCCTTTCTCATAAAATTTATAGTAGTATTAATCTAAGAACTGTCTTAGGTTAAATGCTCCCACAGTTGTCCTTTCAAAGTCACTCACTGAAGTTTCAAACATTGAAATCCTTAGGACCAGATGTACTTGGGAATTCAGAATTTTTCAAACTGTAGAATGGCAATATGGTGTAGAATGCAATGTTGTATCAACCCAGTGGGGTGTTGTCAAACATGCTAATTAAACATGTTACTGTTCCTGCATCAAAACATATTCACAATAAGTCAGCATAATACTATAAATAACTTAATTTTTTTTATAAACAGAATTCAGCCTGATCATCTTTGTATTCCTCAGTGTTTTAAGAAGAGAGAAATGGCTACCATATAGCTCCTTAAATTTTAGCTCAGTTTTTCCAGATATTTCTGCTGCTTTTCCTAGCTATAGGCTTTTCGGTCATGTAATAGAAGGGAAGACTGAATCCTCTTATTATAGTAGAAGGGCCAAGAATAAACTGGCAATAGATGGATGAGCTAAGTACCACCTAACCCAACACCCCTTTTCCAGTGGCCAATGCCAAATATCCCACCATATCTGATAATGAGTGACATCAAAGCTGACTAGTATGCACGAAGCGGTATGAATTAACTACGGAACACTTTTATAGTTTCTATTTATCCCCTAGCAGCCAGCACAGGGACTTATGAAATGGTTGCTAATGAGGATTAAATTAATAAATAATTACAAGATACAAAGTTACAAGTATCATTGGATAAAGTGTTTTGAGGGTTCATGTTTACTTATTTATTTATTTATTTTTATTTTTTAAGATTTTATTTATTTATTTGAGAGAGAGAGACACAGCGAGAGAGGGAACACAAGCAGGGGGAGTGCGAGAGGGAGAAGCAGGCTTCCCGCCGAGCAGGGAGCCCGATGCGGGGCTCG